AGAGAGTGAGTCAAAAATCTACTGGAACTAATTGAGAGATTTAGCATTGTGGCAGGATACAAGATCAACATCCAAAAATCAGTTGGATTCCTCTACACCAGCAAAGAGATTACTGAAAAAGAAATAAGGAAATCAATGCCATTCACATAGCTACAAACAAACAAACAAATAATAAATTAAAAAAAAAAAAAAAAAAAAAAAAACTTGGGAATAAATCTTACCAGGGACAAAAAAGACCTGGACAAAGAATAGTATAAAAGACTACTTCAAGAAACTGCAAGAGATCTACATAAATGGAAGAATATACCATGCTTCTGGACAGGAATACTGAACGTGAAAATGTCAGTTCTATCCAAAGCAATCTATACGTTCAATGTAATCACGATCCAGATCCCATCAACATTCTTTAAGGATATGGAAAAGCAATCACTAACTATATGGAAAGGAAAGAGACCTTGGGAAAGCAAAGCACTACTGAAGTAGAACAAAGTAGGAGGTCTCACACTGCCAGACCTCAAAACCTACTATACAGCCCCAGTAGTCAAAACTGTCTGGTATTGGTACAATGACAGACACGTTGACCAATGGAACAGAATTGAGAACCCAGAAATAGATCCATTGACCTATGGTCAGCTGATCTTTGACAGAAGGCAGAAATCCATTAATTGGGGAAGAGATTGTCTGTTTAACAAATGGTACTGGCAAAGCTAGATATTCATTTGCAGAACAATGAAACAAGATCGGTACCTCACACCATACACATAAACTAACTCCAAATGGATCAAAGACTTAAATTGAGGCCTAACACTATAAAGTTCCTCAAGGAAAAACCATGGGCAAATTTAGAGACCCTAATATATGGCATAAATAGACTATCAAGCATAACCCAATGTACGGAAAGAGCAGAAGATAAACTAGATGAATGGACCTTCTAAAACTTAAATTTATGTGCTCCAGAGACTTTTCCATAAGACTCAAAAGAGAACCTACAGATTGGGAAAAAAGTATTTGGCAATGACATATCTGACAAGGGACTTATCTCTAAAATTTATAGAAAACTCAACACTTCAACAACAGAAAGACAAATAATCCAATTTAAAGATGAGCAGAAGACATGAATAGAGACTTAATCAAAGAGGATATTCAGGCAGCCAACAAACATGAAGAAACGCTCACAATCATTAGCCATTAGAGAGATGCGAATCAAAACAATAATGAGATACTATCTTGTCCCACCACTGATAGCGATGTTCAACAAGACAGAAATTAACAAATGCTGGTGAGGATGCGGAGAGATTAGGACTCTCATACACTGCTGGTGGGACTGTAAAATGATACAACCACTGTGGAAAGCAGCATGGTGATTCCTTAAAAAGTTGGAATTAGAAAACCATTTGACCTGGTAATCCCATTACTAGGTATATATCCTAAAGAAGTGAGATCCAGGGCAAGAACAGATATATGCACACCCATGTTCTTTGCAGCTCTATTTACAAAAGCCAAAAGATGGAAACAGCCCAGGTGCCCATCAACAGAAGAATGGATAACCAAACTATGGTACATACACAGAATGGAATACTATGCAGCCCTAAAGAATAATGCAGTATCCGCAAAACACCGTATAATGTGGATGAACTTGGTGGATATTATGCTGAGTGAAATAAGTTAATTGCAGAAGGACAAATATTGTATTGATTTGTTATTGTAAAAAGTCAAGGAAAGATTTATATATAGAAGGAAATTTTCTTTGTTGGTTACCAGGGGTGGGAGAGGAGGGGAGGGAACACTGTTAGATAGAGACAAGAGTTTATTTGGGTGAAGAGAAGGGCAGTGTACCAAATGTGAGTGACCAAGACAGTGACATTGAGGAAGAGGTGCATGGGAGGTACAGATAACAAAGATGAACTCTTTTGTGTATACAGTACTGCTTTGTCAGTGAAGGCAAACATTGATACACATGTAGGTGGATAGATGGGTGGACAGGCTGAACTATTAGGTATGTCTTTTCAGGGGGCATTGTGCCCAAGACCATGTATAGGGTTGGCAGACAGTGTTTCTACAAGTGTATTTGTATGTTCTGTAAGAATTCCCAGGTGTGTGGAAGAGCTGACAAGGGGCAAGGTTGTGGTCACTTTTGGCCACAGCCAGCTACCCAGAGGGAGCAAGTAGTTGGACCTGTGGGTTTGGGACTATAGTCGCAGGGGACATCAAGCTCAATTGGTATAACATACTACACAAGACATTGTTCCACATCCTACTTTTGCAAGTAGCGTCTGGGATCTTAAACGCTTGCAAGCAGCCATCTGGATGCAACGATGGATCTCTCCTCGTCAAGAGCAAAGAAGAATGAATAAAACCAGAGACATATGGAAACAATTAGTCCAAGCAACTGGTACACCATGCGATCGTCAGCCTATACAACCATGAGACCAGAAGAACTAGATGGTGCCTGGCTATCACTGTCATCACTGTCAACCATTCAGTGGGAGATCTATATAGGAGATCCTGGATAGAAAGGGAGAATAATGTGGAACAAAACTCAAAATCTTTAAAAAAAAGGACTACATTTGCTGGTCAAAATAGAGCCTGATGGAACCACTGAGACTGTGGCCCCTACCTGCCCTTCAGGTCTGGCATTTAACTCACTCCTGTGGCTTCCAGCCAAACAAAAGGCAGGCATATGAGTGGAACGTTTACATTAGGTTGATAACATTCCTTAGAGTGATTAGTCATGATCAATAGAAAGGCTGTGTATGCACAGAGAGACAGCTCAAGCGGCAGGAATACATGGGAGGAAAGGACACAGAAAAGAGGTAACTATGGGGAGGAATGGGGAGGGAAGCTATTGTGTTGTGGGAAATTGCAGTCAGTGTCATGAGACAAAGTGTGTGTGAACCATATGGGAAGTGAATTTGCTGTATAAACTTTCACCCTATTCACAATTAAAAAAGAAAGAAAAAGAAACGTGTTCATTCTTCTGGCAGACCATGATATATTTAATACTCTTTGCCAACACCATAATTCAAAGGCATAACTTCTTTGGTCTTCCTTATTCATTGTACAGTTTTTGCATGCATATGAGGCTGTTGAAAATACCATGAGTAACATCTTCACTTTTTAACACTTCAAAGAGGTCTTTTGCAGCAGAGTTGCCTCAGTGCAATACGTCATTTGATTTCTTAACTGCTCTTTCTCTGGGTGTTAATTGTGGATTGAAGGATAATGAAATCCTTAACAACTTTATTCCACAACCAGTAACTGAAAAGGGAATGCATTATACTGATTGCTTAGACCATTCAGAGGTCACAGTACATAATTGAGTGTGAGTTTAGTCCCAACCAGTTTTCAGTAGTGCTCCATAACAGAGCTTAGGAATGTTTCATGAAAGAAAAAGCATGAATAAAGTTAAGAAGATGTAATAGGAGAATAGATAACTGAATAGATAACCATTGGTGTCTGTTGTGATATGTCTTAGTTTTGTTTCTTTCTTTCTCCTTATTTATTTTGAAGTACGTAGTTCATTTTATATTTGGAAATTAAAAAGACATTAGTCCCAAGGTACTTTCAGAAAATGCGTAAAGCTAGGAATTGTGAATGTTTATAGTATTGAAAGTAGTAGAGAAAGTGTACAGCTTTGTTTTAAAACTTGTTTATTAATAAGTAATATAAATTATGTATTACATTTGGTACTTCCTCCTCAGTGGTCCATGTGTCTCACCTTGTTATATTATGAATATTTGTATATTTGCTTCCCTAATTACACATTGAGTTCTTTGAGGGAAAGTATCATGTCCTCATCATCTTTAACTCCTTAGTGCCTGCTGTATAGTGGACAAGTAATAAATGTCCCTTGAATAAAGTATATGTGGGGTTGTACCTAGCCCACTAAACTTTTAGAGCAGTACAGAACAAGATCTCTTTTTAATAGGATATATTTTTCTGTGTGTGTATAGAAGAGGCTCAAAGTACATATTTAAAAGATTCTGTGATTTCTCCCCTCAAAGATTAAAATGCAAACTTCATACAACCCTTTCAGTACATAATTTGAGACACTACTGTAATAAGACATACTACTTGTCTGCTTTATTTGCACATTTTTAAGGAGATAGAAATGCATGGTTTTAGTAGATAAAAGGATTTTACTTTTCTTTTATATTTAAAAAAAATGGTCTCTGGTGGTGTAGTGGGTAAGGCATTTGGCTGGTGCTGCTCCCCAGCGGGGTTCTCTGTGAGTCAGAATCTACTCGATGGCAGTGAGTTTGGTTTGGTTTTAGGTTTTTATATTATAAAATGAAAATGCAGAACAATGTGGAGGCTAATTGTTGTCATTTCCACTTTTTGCAATCACTAGAAAATGAAACAAAAAGTGCACCTCTTTGCTTTATAATATATACTGAAACTATTGAGATCTATAATTATTGGTATGTTTATTCTGTAATTTTTTTATGGATGTTCACTATGTGCTAGAAGCAAAGATATAAAATAACTGCTGCCATTAAGGAATTTTGAAAGACAAAATGAACACAAAAATGTAAACCATCAAATGTCATAAAATGCATAAGGGCTATATAATAGAAACATTTGGACACTCAAAATAGCAATTCTTCTGTGAGTAAGGTATCAGTGTCAACTTAGTTCTAAGATGGTAACTAGTAAAGAGGTCTTTTAGTTCATATTTTTATTGTCATTAAATAATTTATTGAATTATGTATTTATAGACATGTCTTTACTAGTTTTTAAAATGTTTTGTCACTTTATATATTCTTTATTTTAATGGAAAAATTGCTATTTGAACATTGCATTTTATCTTTTGTGGTGAGTATATATAGTTTTTTTGAAATGGTAAACAACAGAAAAGAAGGCTATAAACTGTGATTTAAAATGACAGCTTTTACACATTTAAAACCTATGTATTCCCTCTGATACTGGCTTAACAGAATAAAATGACAGAATTCTCCTACTTTCTGTAAACATCACACTTTCAAGGTTTTTTTTTTAAGCTCAGTATTCTACTGAAGAGTGTGACAGAGGGTAATGGGAGAAAGGGAGAATTTATTTTCCTGTAAGACATAATTGTTTTCCATTATTTTCCATCTCTTAGGATATTGTAGAAAGAATTTTTTTTATTGTCTGATATCTTCAGATCTTTCCAGTTTAAGGATTCCATGATATATTTTGATTAAACATGAGCTTAAATTGCTAGTTCTAGATCTGATTCATCTTAAATTTGTAGTAGCTAACTGGTAAGAGATGGGCTGTTGAGGTCACTCACTGCCGTAGAGTCAACTGCGACTCAGTGACCCCTCCATGGGTTTCTGAGGCAGTATCTCTACAGAATTAGATTGCCCAACCTTCCTTCTGAGGAGTGGCTGGTGGGTTTGAACCACCAGCCTTCT